ACCAACCACCCATCCCACAAGTTCGTGGTTGTCGTATCGGCTATCACCTATTTACAAAAGTACCAGTAGTAGTACCATGATGCCATATTCCCACATAAAATCAAGTCATATACAACCAATCCACTGAGCATTCAATATTGCATCACATAGATTAAACAGCGGCTAATCACATGGATTAAACAGCAGCTAATCACATAGATTAAACAGCAGCTAATCACATAGATTAAACAGCAGCTATGGTGACTATGCAGTCACTAAACACCTCAGAAATCACACAAATGAATAGCAATGCTTCTTAAAGTTCCACATAAAAAAGCAGCAAAAGATATTAACAGCAGTCACAATATCACAATAATAACAAGTTCAGGCAAAGTTTGAGCACAAAACTACCACCCATCTTTACCCCAACATAGTCTGTTCAGTTTTCTCCCAGCAAGTAAGTGAATGAATATCATGAATAAATTAAAAAGTGGGTATTTTCCCCATCCAGGTTCACCCAGAAAACACATAGAGGGAAACATTGCTGCACTACATCCCAATGCAATCTACATTTTCCATTTTCGTAAGAGTTTTACAGCAAATGCAACACAATAAGGTAATATAAGTGCCAAAGATTAGGTGTGTTACAAGGGAGTAACAAACACAAAAAAAAGGAGGAGAGATTTAAAGGACAATAGATGTTTGATAGGAAAGAAGGAGCAAACAACACCAGAGAACCCTCCAACCACCCACATATCTACATTTGAAATCTGCATCTACAAGATGTACCCAAAAAAGGTAATCCTATTTCAATGTGTTGATCTTGCCCATACCATTACATTTCCTGCTAAAAAAAAGCTTTGTATCAAGTCAAAACAACCATTTACTGATACTCAAATCATCATTTCAGAGATAGTTTTAGTTTTAGTAGAGGTTTTGTTTTGTTTTAGTAGAGGTTTTATATTGCATAAGGTCGTATGAGCGCCAAGGGGTGGATGCCAACAGAGATGTCCTTACAGTGAATCAGGCTTACTCTGCTCACCTCTATAGCTTCAACAGCACAAAGTCTGCTTCGACTATGAAGGCACCCCGGAAATAGCGGGTCACAAGAGTGGGACAAACATACAAAAGAAGTAAAATTCTCAAGTACAAATTGTCACTGTACACATTTTACAGCACTATCAACACAGCTGGGGGCTCCAGTCACATAGTGAGCAGCGACTTCAGACTCAAAAACATTGTCAAGCAAGTGTCTGTGACAAGGGCTGTCCCCGAGGTTTTACGCACCCCGCATAATTTAGCAAAATTTGATCTTTTTTTTTGCATAATTTCTGATTATTTTCCTTTATCACTCTTTGTTGAAATTAACAAAATTGCATAATTTCTCATTTATGGGCTCAGTTTGCATAATTTCAGAATTTTTTTTGCATAAGACCGCAGGGACAGCAAGGGGTCTAGATCAGATTGTCCCTGGGGTGTGTCCTTGAGCAAGACACGATAAAAAACCTAGCTGAAAAAAAAAAACCCAGGGTGCTGCACAAAGGTGACCAGCAATGGCTTGTCTGGGAAATTGTTCTGCATTGGTGTGTGATATTATGCATTTGTTATTTTTGTACGTATATATCTATGTTTGATTATACGTATTTATGTATGTATATTTGCCATTATAACCCAAATTTCCCCAAGGAGATCAATAGAGTTTCTATAAGAACACTTTGCAGTCACACAGCCAGCAGTGCAAAAAAACCCATCTGGTCACCCAGCCAGGAGAGTGACTGCAACAGACTTACTTATGGGTGACCAGATGAGGTATTTTGTACTGCTGGCTGTGTGACTGCAAAGTGTTAAAAAGCGCAGAGCCCAAACAAAAGGGAGTAGGACAAAAAAAAGGACGGCCAAAGCCGCTCAAAACGCCCACTTCCCAGCCCTAGAGTAAAAACGTAAACTTGTTCCCGCATCCGATCTGGACATTGGGGAGACATTGCCTTGTTAGTGAGACAACTTCCCGGGCCTGCAGCATATTAATTGTGGTAGGGAGGCCAGTCCCTTTCCACGCCGCATTTACTTCCCCAACTCAAAGTCAGGTACCCATTACTGCTGGGTGGGCAGGAGGGGGCGCGAAAAAATCTGTGTCCGAACCGAGGCTCGAAACCCGGACTTTCCGCTTCGGAGATGAGCGCACTAACCGCTCCGCCACCGCCCCCTCCCTCAGCCCTAAACAAGCATAAAACACAGCCAAAATGGCCACAACATTTAAACAAATACACACAAATATCAAAGTCATCGCTCCATCCCCTCTTCTTCTTATGCAACAGTATAGAAAACATATTTGCGAGGCATCGTGGTGAAATCAGGTGCTCGTCAAAATAATGAGATCGAAGAAACAGGCATTTTCCCGCTGGTTAGTCAATTTTTATAGAATTTTTGTTTTTTGGATCAATACCATTCGTGTCCATATTTTAAAAAACACATTTCCAGTTGAATTTTACTGAAAAACATTGATAAAAGGCTTCAAATATGAAACTTAATCATTTTCACGGACTCTCACGCTATTGAAATTATCAGACTTTGGCAGCCATTTTCTAGCTAATTTTACCGCTGAAACCAGGCGACCTCATCTTCTTTAATCGTAAATATCTCGACTTCTATTTAGGATAGACGGGTATTTTTTCAGTGAAAGCAACACAAATAAACAAGCTATCAGATGATACCAATAACTCCACATGCCCAAAAATTGACGAGCGCCTGATTCCACCGCGTCCACACACATTTTTCATCACAAGTTAACATTTGCTGAAAAATAAAAAAAAGAAATGGTGTGGTAAGGAAGAGAAATAATATCCATGAAACAAAGCCCTCAAAATGGAACAGAAATGGACCCTTTCATCCAGCAGATCTGCAGCAAATAAACTTTTGGGAGATGAAAATATCCTTATTTGAGGTAGAAGGTTGGGGGCAAATCACAAAATCTGTATGAAAACATCTACTACTACTATGGGTCTGATTATTTAGCTGGAGCACTGTTCCAAACTAAGTCTAGTGATATTCACAATGTTTAAAATCTAGTAATCTAAGTAAAACGAATGATTCGTATTGCCGTATTTCTCTGTCCTTGGAAGGACGTATCCACAAAACACACACACACATACACACACACACACACACACACACACACACACACTCACATTCCCGCCAGTGTGGGATCTAGTAATCTAGTAATCTAAGTAAAACGAATGATTCGTATTGCTCTCTGTCCTTGGAAGGACATCCCCACAAAACACACACACACACACACACACACATACACACACACACACACACACACATACACACACACACACACATACACACACACTCACATTCCCACCAGTATACACACAGTATATTACATACACTAGAGAAAGGAGGAAGGTGTTTGTCCCAGGCCTATACCCTGGTGCAGGGTGAGATAGGCAATGATGATAACGATGATGATATTATATACATAATATATATATACACAACGGCATTAGAAGCTTTCCGGGGTTTTTTTCATTGTGACATTCGCGAGAGTTAGCAAAATTTTCACACATCACTCACCGTGTACCCAACTATCATTCCACATTGATCTTTTTCATGAACAAAAACGTCACCACTAGGTCACGTGACACGTCACCACTCCATCCCGTGACAGAAATGCAAATTAACATGTTTTGCAAGTAAAGTCCCATCAAACTTATGAAAGCGTTTAAAATGTGTTCAGATCAACACATTAGTTATTTTAGGACCAAAAACATAAGCTACATACACATACCTGCTGTTTGTTTGGTGGGAGGGTTTGGGGGTTTTCAATAGCTGTAGAAGATGGCGAGATTAAGTACTGAGGAGTACAAAAGAGCAGTTGGAATGTTGGACTTGACATTTTAAAATCAAGAGTCAACACATGAGCCGTGATAAAAAAAAACAAGGTAGTACACTTCTTGAAATACTTGAAATAATACATTTGTGTTAATATTAATTTAATATTATTATTATGTACATTAGTGTTAACTTTTATTTTTATATGTTGAACATTATGCACAATAATGTGGTTAGGCTCTCGGACTCGCAACCGTAAGGTCGTGGGTTCGAATCCCGTCAGGGGCCCAACGTTGTGTCCTTGGGAAAAGCACTTTACACACATTTTCCTCACTTCACCCAGGTGGGAATGGATACCCGGCTATAGACAGCGAAAGATCTTGTCAGTTTGTTAGTGTTTGAGCACTTAATCAGCTGCTTGCACTGTATGTTTCCCAGGAAGCTGAGAATGTTTCGGAGTGCTCAATGGACTGCTGGGGTAATAATACAGTGTAAAGCGCATAGAGCTTGCTGTTGAGCGGGGATATGCGCTTTACTAATGCTATTTATTATATTATTATTATCACAATATAGGCTTTTTTCTCAGTGGCAAATTTATAACGCCACTGTGGAAACATCAAAAGACAGTCACTGCAGTGGAACCCACAGGGAGCACGAAGCAGGGGTAGGCCACAGGAAACATGGAGGAGATGTGTGGAAAGGGACATGATGAGAGAGATGAAACTCCCTTGGAACAAGCTAGGAAGGATGGCCCAGGACAGAGATAAATGGAAGGAGCATGTGTGTGGCCTATACCCTGCCAGGGGTGAAAGGCATTAATAATGATGAGTACATATACAGTTGAGCCTGCTTTAACAGCCATCTGTCCGAGACAATCTCCTTTACAAAACAACCACTTCCAACTTTTCAACGTTCCCCCACCCCCGCATTGAAAAAAAAAACACCAACATAATGATATTGTCCAGGATGACCACCTGGCTAAGACAATCGATTTTCTCCTCCACAATGAATAACCATCTTGGATCATTTTTTAAATTTACATACGTGAGGCATACTGACAAAATGAGTTAACGTTTCCCAATCCACAAAAGGAGATATAGGCCAAAAATTGACACGCAAGTCAAATTTGTAGATTTTCTATTGATACCATATTCTTTAAGTATAACATGCCTTTTATTATTTCATACTTATAAATTGTAAAAACTTCACCTATAAGCGTGATCTATCTATTTCCATAGGGCTCGAATCCAAGAAGTAACCCATTTTGTCAGCCAGCACTCTTCACATATATTTAAGTAATATACATACAAGTATGTATAAATACATTCATGGATTTATGGGAACAAAACAAATTATGCACACAAACAGGCAAGAGAGCAATGTACACAAATGTTGCACAAAGGCACGTGCGTAGACAAAAACTTCATGCTCGAGGTTATGAAGCTCCGCACACACTTTCAAATCTGCACACGGTGGCATCCGCCTGCTGGAAGCAATACAGCAGCAGACTCTGCAACTTTCGCATCGCCGGTCGCTCAAGGGGGTTAACCTGGCAGAAATAGACCACCAAAAAAAACCATGACGATTCGCGCTCGATTAGAAGATAAGTCACACACCCATTTATCACAACGACCCACTCGCAGTGTGAGGTCATCAGCTGACAAAAAGAAATTTCTTTCTTTGTTTTAGTAGAGGTTTTACGACGCTCGCAACTGCATAAGGTCATATGAGCGTCAGAAGAATAGAGGCGTTACAAGAGAGTAACAAACATAAAAAAGAAGAAGGGGAGAAAAGGACGATAGATGTTTGATAGGAAAGAAGAAGCAAACCACACCAGAGCACCCGCCAACCACCCACACTTGCAGTTTGAGGTCATCAGCTAACAAAAAGAAATTTCTTTTACCGTCTATGAAACTTAAAACAATGGGTGAAAGGGCATTTGAATATCAAGGCCTCAAGATCTGGAATGCTTTACCCAGTACTTTAAGAGAGACCAAATCTTTTGATTCATTCAAATGTCAGCTGAAATCCATTTCTGTTTCTAAATCAATAAGATGAATTTTTGGAGAATATTTCTTTAGTCAGAACACAACGTTTTATGTTACTGTTGTACGTTGTATTTTACTGTTAAGCGCTCAGAGCCTGAGTATTTTAATATGTGTTGAGCGCTATATAAATGTCATTTATCATTATTATTATTATCATTATCGTTATTATTATTATTATTATTATTGTTATTATTATTATTTTTATCAATACTATTATTATTACTATTATTATTATTATCATAATTATTATTATTATCATTATCATTATTATTATCATTATTAACATTATTATTATCATTATTATTGTTATTATTATAGGGCGACTCCAGCCCAACAGTCTTCTGCATTACAAAGTGCTATCTTTGTCCTTCTTTATTTAATCTTTTACAAGACATTAAGAGCCTTTGGTGTCTAGACCAAAGAGACAAAATCACAGAAGTAATGTCTGAGGATACAATGACAAAAACACAAAAGTAAGACGTCAGAACAGTATGACAAAAAACAAAAATAATAATAATTATTATAACGCTGAAGGTGAGGATATTGCTGATGATGATGATGTTGTTGTTGTTGTTAGCGATCCAATAGCATCTGAGCGTTAACTCTTCTGCATGATGCCATTCGGTAATAGCTGCATGTCTGTTCTAATTGTTGTCTTGAGGAGTAGAGGCAATTAGATGTGTGGGGTAGCTTGGGAAGAAAACATCCCCTTAAATCAGTTAGTTTTCTACAGAAGAACAGATGATGTTCCACTGTCTCTGAGGGGTAGTCACATAGTGGGCAGGCAGCAGACAGCTTTACTCCAATTCGGTTGAGATGTTGGTTGAGGGGTACATGTTGTGTTCCAAGTTGGAAGATTATGGATTGATCTCCCCTCTTCAACTCATTGATTGGATCTTTGACCAGTGGTTTATTCATGTGGCCATACATCCTCCTTCCTGTCGTACCTGTGGCCCAATCATTCATCCAGTCTTCCTTGAGGTTTGACTTGATCATTTGGCAGCAGGTGGTGTAATTCGTAGGAATTTCAGGCTGAGGGAGGCTAGCTCCTTTCTTTGCAAGAGCATCAGCTCTTTCATTTCCCGGTATCCCAGTGTGGGCAGGAATCCATTGTAGGACTACTCTGACGTGGTGCCTACTTATCAAGTTATGTAGACTCCAAATGTTGTACATTGTATAGTACTGTTAAGCGCTCAGACTCAGAGCCTGTGTACTTTAATCTGTGTCGAGCGCTATATAAATGTCATTTATCATTATTATTATTATCAAAGTGCAATATATCTTTGTTCACATCAGTCCCACTCTCAAGTGTCTCTAGTGTTGAAAGGCTGTCTGTAAAGATAACGATGTCTGTGGTAGCAAGTGGGTTAGTGTCAAATGATGATAATAATAGAAATAATAATAATTATAATAATAACGATGATGATGATGATAATAATACTTTCATTTAAAAACACATATATCCACACTCTATGTAGTTTACAAATATATGTGTATTATTGCCTCAGCAAAACCTAGAACAGTACCAGGATTGGTATTTGTAGGAAAAGTCTTCGTACCATGGATTAAATTAGTAAGTAAAGTATTTGTACCATGGATTGTATTTGTAAGGAAAGTATTTGTACTATGGATAGTATTTGTAAGGAAAGTATTTGAACCATGGATTGTATTTGTAAGGAAAGTATTTGTACTATGGATTGTATTTGTAAGGAAAGTATTTGAAGAATGGATTGTATTTGTAAGGAAAGTATTTGAAGAATGGATTGTATTTGTAAGGAAAGTATTTGAAGAATGGATTGTATTTGTAAGGAAAGTATATGTACTATGGATTGTATTTGTAAGGAAAGTATTTGTACTATGGATTGTATTTGTAAGTAAAGTATTTGTACTATGGATTGTATTTGTAAGGAAAGTATTTGTACTATGGATTGTATTTGTAAGGAAAGTATAAGTACTATGGATTGTATTTGTAAGGAAAATATATGTACTATGGATTGTATTTGTAAGGAAAGTATATGTACTATGGATTGTATTTGTAAGGAAAGTATTTGCACCATGGATTGTATTTGTAAGGAAAGTATTTGTACTATGGATTGTATTTGTAAGGAAAGTATTTGTACTATGGATTGTATTTGTAAGGAAAGTATTTGTACTATGGATTGTATTTGTAAGGAAAGTATTTGAAGAATGGATTGTATTTGTAAGGAAAGTATTTGTACCATGGATGGGTATTTGTAGGAGAGTACAGGACAGTAATTGTTAGGTGTGTATTCGTCGGAGAAAGTGAGCAAAATTGACAAGAGAGCCCCAGTCTCACCTTCCAGCAAGCCTCAAAGACAGGGACAACCAACTTGGGAATGCCAACTGGAATCATCGGAGCCTTAAATTCCCGCATCTGAAAATATTCAAGGAACTTGTTTCCCAAAGCAGGTTTCATATCGTTCAATGCCTTTCAAGTGTTTCCCACAGCCCAATTTTAGTTTATGACCCATAAAGCATGCTCAGAAAACCATTTATTATTTATGAATGAATAAATGGATGAATTATTATATAATAGTATCACAGAGAATATTTTTTGCATAATCCATCTGGTTTAATATACATGGATTAACTGAACTCTCTCTGAGTTATGTTTACTCATTTAAAATAAAACAACTCTTAAAATATTACCTGTATCCCCCCCAAAAAAATATGTAGAGAACAGTCAGACAGGTAAGCGCATATTGTTTTTTGCGAGTGTAATAAGGTACACGTGTCTCGACGTGGTGGAATCAGGCACTCGTCAATTTTCGGGTACATGGTGTTATTGGTATCATCTTAAAGCCTGTTCAATTGACTTCCTTTTGAGAAAAAAAATATCCACCTATGGTGAATAGAAGTCGAAATATTTGCGATTGCAGGAGGTCAGGGTCGCCTGGTTTCAGAGGAAAAATTAGCGAGAAAATGGCCGCCAAAGTTTGATAACTTTCTTGGCCTCTGAGTCATTGTAAATTAAAAATTTACATTTTTTGCGCTTTTAATCCATGTTTTCAAGTAAATTTCACACAAAAATATGTTTTTAAATGGACATAAAAGGCGTTGAGCCAAAAAAAGAAAATTAGAAAAAAACTGCCCATTGGCCCAAAAAATACCAATTTCTTTGATTTCATTATTTTGACGAGCGCCTGATTTCACCACACTGCCTTACATAAGCCAGAGTCCCAAAGCCAGATAAGATGATTTTTGTTGGGAGAAAAGACCGTAAATCTGCATATTGTAGCCATCTCAGTGTCGCCTTCTTTATCATTCCTCTAGCTCGACTACTCGTGACCTCAGAGCTTCCTTGTCTTATCTCCATTTTTAACAACAGTGAAAACAGTTCATAACAAAGAGTGAGCTAAAGAAGAAGTCACATTTTCATTGTTTAAAAAAAATGGAGATACGACAAGAAAGCACCGAGTTTTAGTTTTTAGTAGAGGTTTTACCGCGCTCGCAACTGCATAAGGTCATATAAGCGCCAGAAGATTAGAGGTGTTACAAGAGAGTAACAAACAAAAAAGAAGGGGAGATAAGGACGATAGATGTTTAATAGGAAAGAAGGAGCAGACCACACCAGAACACCCGCCAACCACCCACAGAAAGCACTGAGGTCGCGTACTGCATTCCAAAAGAAATAAGATCACTTCAGGTAAGGACCCTGGCGCATACCACGCTCAGGTCTCTGCTCTTTGTAGTGCGTATTTCCTGACAGAAACTTTGAACGCTCTGTTTTTTTAGATTTCTTCATTCTGTTCCAGTAAGAGTTTTGCGACACATTCAACACAATACGGTCATATAAGCGCCGAAGATTAGAGGTGTCACAAGGAAGTAAAAAAACACAAAAAAGAAGGAGGGGAGGTAAGGACGATAGATGTTCGATAGGAAAGAAGGAGAAAACCACACCAGAGCACCCACCAACCACCCACTCACAACAATGACCCCCGACCCCTGACCCCCGACCCCTGATCCCCGACCTCCTGCTCCAGGATGTGCGGCTCCTCGTGTCTGCAGTGGTGCCACACGGGTTTGCCAACGAGCAGCTCCATCAGGAGACACGCCAGGCCCCACATGTCACTCCGCTCGCTCATTGTCGCGTCCCCAGACAGAAGCTGAAAGACGTGAACAGAAGCACATCAAGACATTCATGGTCGTTTTGTTTGAGTAAAGAGAAACACATACAGACAGAAGCTGAAATACGTGAACAGATGCACATCAAGACATTCATGGTCGTTTTGTTTGAGTAAAGAGAAACACATACAGACAGAAGCTGAAAGACGTGAACAGAAGCACATCAAGACATTCATGGTCGTTTTGTTTGAGTAAAGAGAAGCACATACAGACAGGAGCTGAAAGACGTAAAGAGAAACACATTGCCATATTTATGGTCGTTTTGTTTGAGTAAAGAGAAACACATTGCCATATTTATGGTCGTTTTGTTTGAGTAAAGAGAAACACATAGAGACAGGAGTTGAAAGATGTAAACAGAAGCAGATCATGACATTCATGGACATTTTGTTTGTGTAAAGAGAAACACATTGCCATATATTCACATAGCTGCCCACCCCTCTCTGTGGCTATCAGGGACAGCCTTGCTCAAAATCAGGGACATTGAGTAATTATCAGGGACACCTTGTATTTGTCAAGAAAAACTTGCTGCCTTTTCGGTTTCTTTGCTTTACTTGGTCCAGAGTCGGACTTAGAACTCATCGCCGGACATTTTGACACCATCTTTTCCAACGAATGAAGAAGCCGAGCGCCGCGCATGCGTATCAGCTGACTTTGTCGAAACTGCCAACTCTCCCAAATTTTTCGGGAATCTCCCGAATTTTCGTAATTTTCCTGAGCAACAGAAGGCTAATTATTCTGTTTTAGAAGTATGCTTGCCAAGTTTTTATTTTCCGGGACCATCGGTGAAAATCCGTATTTTTACGGTACAACAGCGATTTTTCAAGAAAATCCGTTCAAAATACGGATGGCCTGGGACAGTGGGCAGCTATGTATTCATGGTCATTTTGTTTGAGTAAAGAAAAGTACATCCAGACAGGAGCTGAAAGACGTAAACAGAAGCACATTGCCACATTCAAGGACATACTCATCACCATCATACAGTGCCAGATCTCAGACAGACATCGGCAATCATGGCTCTCCATTCATTTCTCCGCTCAGACGCTCTCAAAAACAATTATTTTATCCAGGTGTTTCCCCATCACCTTTATTGGTTTAGTTTTAGTAAGGTTTTACGGCGCTCACAACTGCATAAGGTCATATGAGCACCAAGGGGGGAATGTCAACAGAAAAGTCCAAACGGGGAATCAGACTTACTCTGCTCACCTCTCTAGCCTCAACAGCACAAAGTCTGCTTCGACTATCAAGGCACCCCGGAAATAGCAGTTCACAAGAGAGTGACCAACATACAAAAGAAGTACAGGAAAAATGACGGTAGTAAGGATGAGGAAAGTAAAAGCAGCAGTACCCCCTATGTTGTTCCGGCACAGTATGAGCATGACATTGATAAATCAGCTCCTTTACAATTCTACCATGCTTAAGAACATGTTACTATCCCCCCCTTTAAGGAATAGCCTAAAGACACTTCAGTCAGTAGCACTGCCCTGGTGTGTGTGTGTGTGTGTGTGCGTGTGTGTGTGTGTGTGGGGGGGGGGGGGGGGGTCCCTCCATGAAATTCTCCAAGAGTCTCCTAAGAAACCACATTTCTGTTGCTTCTTTTATTTTAGTTCCACTATCTTCGGTTAAGTTGCCAACAGGCATAAATCGGGCTCACCTCAGGGGGAGACAGATGCTTGGGCAGGACACAGGGGAGATAACCAAGGTCCACTTCCTCCTCCATGAGCACCGAGGCGGAGAAGTTGGTGAGTAACACCCGGCTCTGGGTCGTCTCTGACAGCAGCACGTTGGAACCTGGAGGGGACCACACAGCCATTACTTTGGTAACATCATCATAATAATAACAATAACAATACTAATAACAATACTAATAATAATAATAAACAAAACAAAACAAAAATAATCATAATCATAATAATAATAATTATAATAATGAGAAGAAGATGAAGAAGAAGAAGAAAAAGAGGAGGAGGAGGAGGAGGAGGAGGAGGAGGAGGAGGAGGAGGAGAAGAAGAAGAAGAAGAAGAAGAATTATAATTATTATATTAATAATAAAAATAATAATAACAATACCAATAATAATAAAGATGATAATAATAAACATAATAAAATAATAATAACAATAACAAAAAGCATTTGTATAGTACATATCCCCGCTCAGGAGCAAGCTCTATGACCTTTACAAGTGTATTCATTACACCAGCAGACCACAGAACTAGAGAAGGGCGGGAACTAGAGCTGGGCGAAGAATCTAGTCGTGAACCGATTCCCAAGACTAATGCTACGAAAGAGAAGTTCCGACTCCTTTTTACGTAAACAAGCCCTTGCCTGTTACTTTAATCAGTGAAATCTTTTTTTTTATATTCTTAGAATTTATTTTGGAAAAAATAAAAATTGATGCTTCATAGCGTTCCGAAATCAAGGTTATCCTAAATCCTGAAGATGTTCAGAGCTACCAGGTAACCACAGAAAGAAATCCCATAATTGGAAAGTAAGTAATAGGGTTCGGAGTCGATTCCTACGATTCCAAGCTTTCAATAACCGGGAACCTTGCCGCCCAGCACTAGCGGGAACCATTTTTTTCTTCCCGAGCACAAAGGTCGGGAAGCTGACCTACTTCTCGCCGGGACCGGTACTGGTCCCGAGAAGTGCAAGTCCGGACTATATAATTCTTTCGTTTTAGTAAGAGTCTTGCGGCACTTGGAACACAATAAGGTCATATAAGTGCTGAAGATTAGAGGTGTTAAAAGAGAGTAACAAACAGAAAAAAGAAGGAGGGGAGATAGAGATGACAGATTTTTTTATAGGAAAGAAAGAGCAAACCGCAGCAGACCACCCACCAACCACCCACCTATATAAGTCTAAAGGTGTTGTACATAAATTCCTGCGTGTGGTTGGACGACTCATCTGATGTGATGTGTACCTTTTGTCAGCTTTACTTCTCTTTTCTTAGTGACTTCTAACGAGAGTAATACATAATTAACATTTTTATGTATACCTGCATGTGTTTTTACGGTCCTGTACAGCCCAGAAAAATGTCCCTCTGGGATAATAAAGTATTATCTTATCTTATCTTATCTTATATGTCCTTCTGCCTTGGGACAAGAGAGCTGCTTCCATAATAACAGTCTCACATGGTTTAGTTTTAGAAACAGGGAAGCCACTGGATTTTTGTAAAAATAACTGAACATTTTTTTCGAGACTAGATTTATTATTGTAGTAGAGGTTTTACGGCGTTCGCTACTTGCATAAGGTCATATGAGCACCAAGGGGTGGATGTAGAGAGAAAAGTCCTTACAGGGAATCAGACTTACTCTGCTCACCTCTCTAGCTTCAACAGCATAAAATCAGCTTCGACTATCAATGCACCCCGGAAATAGCGGGTCACAAGAGTGTGACAAACATACAAAAGAAGTAGAGGAAATTGATGATAGCAAAGATTAGGAAAGAAAAAGCAGCAGTTCCCTGTTGTAGTTCAGGCACAGTTATGAGCATGACATTGTTGGATCAGCCCATTTACAATTGTACTGTGCATTAGAATGAGAAATGTCCCCCCTTTGGGAATGGCCTAAAGACACTTCAGTCAGTGGCACCGCCCCGGGGGGTAGACTAGATTTAGGCAATTTAGCATGCGACAAAATAATACATGTAACAAAACAACATCATATCAGTTCACCAATAAAACAAAGTTCCTAACGGACGACGCCCAAAATAACGGGGGGAAAACGGAAATAACGGCATAACAGCATCCCTGTAGAAGGAGTTTCACGGCACTAGCAACTTAATTAGGTCGTATAAGTGCCAAAGACAAAAGGTGTCACAAGAGAGCTTTACTTTACTTTTACTTTTATACGCCACTTATACCCTTTTGGGTGTCGCGGGAAGAAAGAGACGTCTCTCTGTCGCCAGCCGGAGAGCTTGGGTCAGGGAGGATGCCGTGGGTGGTTAATGTTTCCCTGACTCCATCTATCCAGGTCTTTCGCGGTCACCCTCTAGCCTTGTTACCATCCAATTTTTGGATGTAGGCACGTTGTGCTGGATGGTGTGTTGGTAATCGTAGGAGATGTCCGAACCATTTGATTCTTTGGTGTTGGATGTGAAGCATGACATCATTTGTGCCAACCATTTCTCGGATTACAGAGTTTCTAATTTTGTCTCGCCTGGTCCTGTTTACTGCTTTTCTAAGGCATCGCATTTCACATGTTGTAATTCTTTGCTCTAATGTCTTGTTTGTGGTCCATGTTTGGAATTGATAGGTGAGTGTTGGGATGAATATGGTGTTGATCATTTTGAGTTTTGTGATCAACACCATATTCATCCATTTAAACAAGACATATTACAAGAGAGCAACAAACACAAAAAAGAAGGAGGAGATATCATAAGGACGATAGATGTTAAGGACAATAGTTGTTTTAGTTTTCGTGAGAGTTTTACGGCACTGGCAACACAATAAAGTCAAATAAGTGCCGAAGACAAAAGGTGTTATAGGAGAGCAACATACACAAAGAAAGAAGGAGGAGATATAAGGACGATATTTGTTTGATAGGAAAGAAAGGAGCAAACAACACCAGAGCACCCGCCAACCATCCACAAGGATAGCTGTTAAGGACAGTTTAGTTTTAGTGGAGGTTTTACGGCGCTCGCAACTGCATAAGGTCATACGAGCGCTAGTTGTTTGACACCCGAGAGCGCCCGCCGACCACCCAACGGTCCCACCACTTACTGGTCCAGTTGAGGTAGACGATCCCCAGAGTGTGGAGGTGCTGCGCGGCAGAGCTGAGCTGCAACAGCACCGACGTGGCACTCCTCACGCTGAACGGTTCAGACTGGACGTACTCATGCAAGGACTGGCCTGGAAGAAGAATATTATTGATAATAATAATAATAATAACAATAATAAAAATAATAATAATAAATATGATAATTTTAAAATAATAATAATATTTTTAGAAATTTAATAAATAAATAACATTATAACAATGATAATAGTAATAACAATAATGATAATAATAATATAAAAATATTAATAATAATAATAATAAAAATAATAATTTTTTTTAAAAATAATAATAATATTTTCAAAAATTTAATAAATAATAATAATATAATGATAATAATAATATTTTTAAAATGTTCAATAAATAAATAATATTATAATAATAATAGCAACCCGCAATAATAATAATAATAATAATAATAATAATAATAATAATAATAATAATAAATATTTTAAAATAATAATATTAATAATAATTTTTTTATAAATAAAAACTAATAATCATAATATTATTAAAAATAAAAATAATAGTAATAAAAATAATATTAATAAGGATAATAATAATAATCATATGGTTATATAAATATATGATTTGACGTACATACTATTTTATGTTCATACCACTTCTTGCCTTAGCCTTCAATTTTCTCTGGTCTTCCCAATCTGTTTTTATCGCACCTTTTGACATTATGACGTGTATGCGCGCACTTTTGTTGCTATAGCTTGTAGTCAATAGATTTTCCATTACTTTTTTTTACATGTTCCTGACGAAGCCCTTTACAGGGCAAAGCGCTGAACTTACATTAAATCTGAAAAATCTACCAAGTCTCAAACACTTTTTTTTTTCCCTGCTACCTATCATAATCACAATAATGACAATTTTGATCATTTCTACAGCACCTCCTCCTGTGTGTCCATAGCACTGGGCACTTTACACAAATCCAAGTACAAAGACAATAACTGTGAAAAAATTCATATTTGTTCATATATGCACACCCAGAAAACATACACACAAACACACACATACATTTACTCATGCACAAGTGCTCACACACTCACACTCACACACACACACACACACACACACACACACACACACACACACGCACTTACACACACAGACACACACACACACACACACACACACATACACACACACATCTTCTCGATCATCACTTACGCATGCATACACATCATTATAGTGAACCATATAAATACAGTCTTTATTTTTTATAGTAGAGGGTTTTACAGCGCTCACAACTGCATAAGGTCATATGAGCGCCAAGGGGTGGAAGTCAACAGAGAAGTCCTTACAGGGAATCAGACTTAGACTGCTCACCTCTCTAGTTTCAACAGCACAAGGTCTGCTTCGACTATCAAGGCACCCCGGAAATAGCAGGTCACAAGAGAGTGATAAACATTCAAAAGAAGTAGAGGAAAATGACAATAGTAAGGATCACGAAAGAAAAAGCAGCAGTTCCCTGTTGTAGATCAGACATAGTTATGAGCGTGACATGAGTCAGCCCATTTACAATTCTACTATGCTTGAACGAGAAATGTCCCCCCTTTGGGAATGGCCTAAAGACACTTCAGTCAGTGGCCCTGCCCCGGGGGGGTAAATACATAGTCTAACATACACATTGCGATCTGAGGTTGACAAAAAATACAATGAATAGATACACAGTCACTTACAGAATATTGTACTGAAAATGAAGCTACTGATTTTAAAATTTCATCAAATTATGTGTCTTAAAATACGTCTTAAAATTAGACCCCTAAGTCATGTTTCAGGAGTTACGAGAGGATGTTCAAAGTGGATGGAGCAAGATGGGCGAAGGATCTTTAGTTTTAGTTTTAGTAGAGGTTTTATGGCGCTCGCAACCGCATAAGGTGATATGAGCGCCAGAAGATTAGAGGTGTTACAAGAGAGTAACAAACATAAAAAAGAAGAAGGGGAGATAAGGACGATAGATGTTTGATCGGAAAGAAGAAGCAAATCACACCAGAGCACTCGCCAACCACCCACGAAGGATCTTTCAGCTAATTTTTTTACCTTCTTTCCTGGACACTCTTAACCCGATGAACTCTGACCGCCTGAGCCCTCCTACATAACCCTACTGGAAAAGAAAAAAAAAAAAAGCAATGTAGATGAACTCTAGCGGTGACTCACCCACAACAAATCTGGAGCACACAAGAATTCCCAGATCATCAGAGTCCTCGGAGTTCTCCATGGAGGCCACCCACAGCAACTTGACAAAGTTGTCATGCCTCAAGTCTCGCAGCTTGGAGTACAGCTTCAGCTGCCAGTCTAACGTTTCTTTTTCTCCTAACGGGACCTGTTGATGGCGGGAAAAGAAAAAGAATCGATAAAATGAGTCTGCTTGTTTTTGTGTTTTAGTAGAAGTTTTACGGCGCTCGCAACTGCATGAGGCCATACGAGCCCCAAGGGGTGGATGTCAACAGAGAAGTCCTTACAGGGAATCAGACTTAGACTGCTCACCTCTCTAGCTTCAACAGCACAAAGTCTGCTTCGACTATCAATGCACCCCGGAAAGAGCGAGTCACAAGAGTGTGACAAACATACAAAAAAGTAGAGGAAAATGACGATAGTACGGATTAGGAAAGAAAAAGCAGCAGTTCCCTGTTGTAGTTCAGGCACAGTTATGAGCATATCATAAAATGAATCTACACGAGCTACCCAGTCCCAGTTCTACGAGAAACAAAAAGTCTTTCAACCTACCAAAGATACTGAACCCTGTTCTGGTGAAAAGGAAACTTACTTCCGTCAAGTTACATTTTACTATTTACACACTATTTAAATAAGCACACACTAGAAATTAAACCTATAGTGCGGTCCAAAATTCATGGCGCAATTTATCCTCAAATATCTCTTTGACAGACAAATCACTGTCACCCATACTTCGCGCAGCAGTTTGTATCTATTTTACTCAACTTAATCATAATTATTTTCACACAATAACTGAGGCTATATTAAAAAATTTTCTTCATAAACTTTTGACCAAGCTCTTTTTCTATAATTTCTTGCAATCTCTGTTTGTTTTTGTTGTTTTTGTTCATTTATGCATGTCGTAGTGGTATCAAGCTTTAGAGCTTTTGTGGGGGGTGTGTGTGTGTGTGTGTGTGTGTGTGTGTGTGTGTGTGTGTGCGTGCGTGCGCGCGTGCGTGCGTGCGTGCGTGCGTGTGTTGTAAGCGAGAACTTTTTTGTGGATTCTGGCGCGTTATAAATTCATTTATTATTATATTATTATTCTTAATAAGAATGAGACGGGAGAGAGAATATATTTATTACCAGAGAGGTGTACCACAGGTTTCCGTCGTTCAGTAAGCCGATAGGCTGGGGA